CCGCTCTTGCCTGAGATTCTATATATAGAACAGTCAAGCTCAACGAACCTGTGCGAATCCGAAAATAACTTACTATTTACGGAAAAACCAAAAAAATTTATAATCCACGTGGTATTAATTAAGATGCAATTACTCTAATATCACATGCACGTGGTGTTTTTTATATTTTTCAATTTAAATTAGGAATAAATAATTAGCCTAATTTAAACATGTAATAATATCTAAGAAAAGAATCTAATCTATTCTAAATTGATATTTTTGACATTATTTAATTAAATTTGTAATTGTTCGACCAAAAAAAATTCGTAATTGAGAAATAGTGAAAATAAATTATCTATACTAGGATATTACCTAATTTAAATTAGAAAATAAACCAGGCCAAATCCTAATTTAAATTGGGATATTATTCCAATTTTCTAGAACACCTATTCTATCCTAAAATATCTTAATCTATTCTAAGAAAATAATCAAAATCTATCCTGAACATGCAATGTATCATCTTTATAAAATCTACTAAAATTTTATCTAATCTTTTTTGTATTTTTTTTATGGAAACACAATTAATCCAATCAACATTAGAATAATTCAAACAAGGCAATAAAGTATATATGACTATTGATTAAGATAAGATTATTACCTAGTTCAAATACTTGTTTCCAAAATTGGACGGACTCAATAGCAATTCCGGCGGCCTACGGTGGTGGTGCTCCCACGACGGGGTTGGCTCTTGGCAGGTTCTTGGTGATGGGTGGTTCGTGGCCGAGGTGCAGCTCTTTGGTACGGCCGTGAACTCGTAGTGAACCTGCAAAATCAGAGAAAGACTGAGCCAAACGTGGAGGCTCGGTCTCGGCTGTGCTCGCGGCAAGGAATGCGGGTCCTCGTCAGAACAAGATAGGAACAACGTCACCAGGGCCAAGACAGGAAACCTGGTCGTGGCGGTCGTCGCGGGACAGGAAACTTCAACAACGGGGTTCCTCGGTTCAGCGCATACAGCAGGGATGTCGCAGGCCGAAGGTTGCAGCAGCTCGGCGTTGCCTACAGTGTGGAGCAGCTCGTCAGAGGAGATCTGGAGCCTGGGAACGGCAACAGGGTCAGGAGAGGAGCGGCAGCAGCAGCTGTGGTCGTCGGGACTGCAGCGGTTCAGGCCAGAACGAAAACAGCAAGCAGCGTTGCCGGTGCAGATGGCAAACAGCACCGTCGCGGGTCGGCAATAGCGGGCTGGATACAGCAGCTCGTCGGACTCCACTTAAAAGATAATGGGCTCAACTTGATTTCTCGCTTTATGGGTTTAGCCCAATTAATCTAATTAAGCTCGAAGCCTCCTGTATCAGTCTATCCGCCGCCGTCCAATCAAATGCAATTAATTTAAAATATGCTCCTGAAAAGTGAAAACTATATGCCACGTAATTTAATTATAATGCTTTTGTTTAGGAGATTAATCCTTTATTTTCTATATAATTATTTCTAAATGGTGAGCCAAAATTTAGGTGTCAAAAGTCATAGAGGTAAATTATTAATTGTATGTGAAGATGAGTTAAGGCGACTACAGATAAATTAGGACTCAAACAATTAAATCACTACATATAAGGGTAACCAACATTACGGTGATTTCAAGTACATTACCATAAATATCAAAAAGAAAATATAAACTTATGCGAGATTTTTCCGCTTATTCTTTTTGCTTATTATAACTTAAAATAAGGGTAATTAGGGAAGACTAGGTGAATCAAAACTCACTAATCTCCTAATAATGTGGATATAACCTTGCAATTTCGTAAATAATGGTAATTCAAAATAAGTCCATGTTAACCTTTTAACTTGTGTGACATTTGCAATTGAGCAGAAAGTTTTGTTTTGTACAATTGAGTAATTTAATTCTAGAGTAACTCAGTTTGAATCGAACCTGAATTTGGTTCCAAATCTAGAATTGGCCTCGGATGGATATAGAATCCAATTCTTAAGATGAAAATGCTGGTTCTACCTAAGAACCATTTCATCACATAATAATCACTCAATCGGTCATTTTACAGTGAAAGGATGCAATATTGTACCAATGAGAAAAACCCGTACGACTGGATTATTTTCCTATCTAATTGCTTATTTAGAAACATCTGCTTTTTTTAGTTTCATGATGATCTCTAAATTTATCATTCAAAGTGCTTCTAGTTATTCTTGGCTTTAGGATAAGTTCACTAAAAGTCCTAAAACTTGTCACAAAGTGCAATTAAATCCTAAAACTTGTCAAGTTTGTGCAATCAAGTCTTTTCGTTAACTACGCTAACGTGAATTTTCTCAGAAGGCACTCACGGCACGTCCACTTTCTTCTCAATTGGATACCTCACTTTTCTTTTCGAGCAAATGAAGATGTATGTTGCTGAAGCAATATGGCTGGGTGTTTGCAACGAAAGACGAAAGCGTTGGAGGATAGCTGGACCTTAAGTGGAGGGCTGCCGAGCGGGGACGGCTGATTGATGAGGCCGCGGGCGCGAGTCGATGGAGGAATCACAGTGGATGAGGTGAACGAACACGTCGGGGCAACTTCGCGGATTGGGAGGAGGATATGGTGGTGGCTTGGCTTAGGGACTGGTGGTGGGCGGCGGAGTGCGGAGGAGAGCAACCGCGGATGAAGACTATTGCTCTTCAAATGATGCCAGTGGAACCTCCTCGGGGTTGTGCCGAATATAACCGCAACTTTTCATTCAAACCTCTTAACAACCAGCAGATATTATCGCATTTGCATTAAATTCCACGATTTTTTCTATCTTCTTTCTTGGGAAAAATTCAATGGCTCGACCTCCTAATTGCCTCATTGTCTTCTCTTAATCACTCACCGAAATCCAAGCCTTCATCCCACCTCAAAATCTCTTCCATTTTGCCAGCCCGTTAACAAATTCCGCTGTTTCTTTTCAAACTGTGGATATTCTCGATTTGCCGATCGCAATTGTCTTTCTTTCCTTTTGAATTGTTGACCAAGATTGTGAGAGATGATCCTACACACGCTTGTCCGTGCATCAGTCCATGGTAGCATCGTAGGGAAGTCTTGCGATGACTTAAGTAACAAAAAAAATGTGACTGTGAATAACGCAAGTGATAATTTTATTTTTTTTAGGGTTCAGGTCGACTCCTAATTATCTTATGCAATATAAATGGCTAAATAGATTGCCAAAATTTAGGTGCCGATAATCTAACGACCTGATTGACACCTGGATCTTCCTTTTTGCTCAATCTTCTTACTAGGTATATATAATTTCTTGGGGTTAGCCGGGAGTGAAGTAATACCTCGCATGATTTCATTTCATTGAAAGGTAATTAGTGACACATGCGATTCACAAACTACATTTTTTCATACACATGTTGTTGCATGCATGATTGTCGAAGAACGTCGCAAGGTCAAATGTAGCCATGCATCGCACACGAGGATGATTATGTACCTTCGAGACGTGTTGAGACTTGGGATTAGATGGAGAGGACCAAAGCCAAAGGGAGGTGTTCTTTGTGTGTGTCCTTGAACGAGGTCCGACCATCTAGAAACACGTACTATTGGACTTCAAGTGTCTAGATGGAATCAAATACGGTCCATTACATGCCCGTCAGTTTAAAGCTTTGTGACAATAGATATGACTTTGGTTGGTATGTAACTTTTGTTTTCCCTAGCTATCCATTTCGTTGCAACGGAAGCTGGACCTCCATACGCGATAAAGATATGAATTTCCATCTAGATTTTCAAGAATAGGTAGGTTAATGAAAATCGTAACTTCATGGGATGCACTAGTTGTGATGCGGATGGTTTCTCTTTGACCAGACCAGAAAAGTGAACTTTATATGGTTTGTGAAAACCGACTTAATATATAACCCGATCGCTCTACCCAAAAATGAAAAGGAAAATCATTTGATAGTGAGAAACCATGAAGGATTTACACCCTTGCCAACATGTCTCAATCGGGAAAATTGTTTAATCAGTCTTAAATTTATTGTATGGTTGCCGATTAAGTTCTAAATTTTTTAATTTTGCCAATTAAGACCTAAATCTTTGTGCGAAATCCAAATGTAGTCCTTCCAGCCAATTATCGTCGCAAATCATTGCCGTGACAGTGTGCCACGTAGGATGGCCGGTAGTGACTGGACCGTCGTGTCAATAATTTCCAACGAAAATTGACCCAAATGATTACATTGGAATTCCGTGCAAAGATTTAGGACTAAATTAAAAAAAAATTGAAAAGTTTAGAATTTAATTTGTATCCGTAAATAGGTTTATGAATTATTGAGTGGACTGATTGCATCATGCACATTAGTACCCAGGCCGTGCGTGTATGTTTTTGAGGGTAAACGATTCAATCAGAAATTCAGGACAAAAAAACCAGTCTAATCAGAATCACAATGCAATGTACGATTTTTTTATTTTATTTTTTTATTTGTTGTGGCCAGAGTGCAAACTACGATATTTGGTTGCGGAATAATAACGTAGGAAAACTTCATTTCCTCAATCAATGTAAATCCACTGGCATGGAAATTATAACTAATTTACCTTAAATTCTTTTCTTCCCCGAAACTAATCACCTTAATCCAAACAAAGTTTGGCGCTGATTGTGTTCATTCTAAGAAAATTTGTATCCTAATTCCTACACTAAATTAACAACCAAGCAATGGCTCATAACCTAACAGGATCCTCGTACTAGAACTCGGTATAAACCGAACCATATATTTGACGTGGATCTAATAAACAAAATATTCTTAAATAAAATGTTTCAATAAAGAATAAGGTCATTCATGGAGTTCATAGCTTTTCTTCAATAACTAATATGTACAATACGGCTAATTTGCAACGGCACAAATCATTTTCTCTACGGTTAGTTTTCATATGACATGAGCGTTTTCTCTGATTTGGTGTATTTACATTGTTTTTCTTATACAATATTACCGAGTCATTCAAATTCATGACTAAGCTAAATTGATACACATGAAACATAAGAAAGAGCGAAACATGTTAAATCAAAAAGAGTACGTTGACACAACTCTGGAATTGCCGGGGTTGTAATGTAATTAACCGTACTTATCACGATAAATGACAACACTCTCGACCATCCAATCCAATCTGCAATGTATTATTTATCACGATGAATGCAACCGATGGCAGAATTGAAGATTCTTACACATATCGCGTCAAGCTGGGATTTACATATAGATGAATTAAGCTAGAGGGAAGCCTAGGCAACTCTTTGATATTGACGCAGTGTAGCAAATCCAAAGTCTTAAGACTTGACAGCCAATAGATTTCTGATGGAAGGCTGGATATACGAGTACCTCGAAGCCTCAATTCTCTGAGACGATGTAGTTCCCAAATATTACTCGGAATGACTCCCCCCAAACTCCTGCACCAGGAGGCATGTACTTCTTCCAGGTCTGTCAACCATCCAATGTCGCGAGGAAATTCTCTTACAAAACAAGAATCCATTTTCAGCACTTTCAATCTCCAAAGGTTTTTAATTGAATTGGGCAATCTTGAAATACCTGTACTCGAAATATCCAACTCTACTAAGAATCGCATTTTGCCAATGGATTCCGGAAGCTTTCCTAGCCCACGACAATTCCTCAAAGACAAGCTTCTAAGTTTCCTCAAGTGTCCAATTGACTCGTGTAGTTCAAGAATTTTCGCGTTATCCAAGGCTAGCACTGAAAGAGCTTTAAGTTTATAAACTGAACCAGGAACATGAACCAATGAGAAGCAATTAGCGGCACTAAGAATTTGCAGTTGAACCAATTTGCCTATCGACACAGGAAGTTCTCGCACGGAAGTGCCTTCAATCAGGAGCTCTTCCAAAGCATTCATCTCACCCATTTCCACTGGCAAAATGCTAAGTTCGGTGCAGAACTTTAAATTCAGGGTAACCAAAAGCTTTAGATCATTAATTGAAGGATCTAAATGAACCAATCGAGAACATCGCTCAAGAATCAGTATCTCCACATTTGGGCAACAGGAGAAGCTGGGGCTAACTAATAAGTCCCCACAACCTGTAAGATTCAAGACTTTCAAACACTTCATCTGCAAAACAGGGGAAAAAGTTCAGCTGGCATAGAACTCTCAATGTACTTAAGGGCCAACGCGAACACAACAACAAATGAGCTATAGACCCACCTTAATTCTTTTCCAACCTCCCCAGGATTCTGTAACCTTACTCCACGAAAGATCAAGAATAACCAGGTTCTCATTTTTTTCTAAATGAAAGCTAATTGCATCTCGAGGGCACCCTTGCCAATGAAGCCACCGAACGTTCAATAAGGTATCTGCATATTTTCCACCGATATTGGGATGACCCAAGTTGAGAAATGTCGTGTTTGGCAGGATCTCAAAGCCTGCCTCTTCAGTGTTAAGGTGGTCTGTTCCCTACATGATGGACCACAAAAGTCAAGTAGAGAAATATGTGGAAGTATTCAGATAATGAAATAATTACTATGGATGCCTAAACTCCCGTGAGGTAAATCGAAAAACAAATTAAGGCCCAAATGGTACTGTTTTCCCCGACATACCTTTCTCCCCTTGTTCGTGTCCTGGGCTATGGCAGGAATGTACAATACAACCCCTGTTCCTGGATCACGGAAACCTTTGCGGATAATCTCCCTGGCAAGGCACCTTAGCATACCGTGCATGCCTATTTTATTTTCTTCGATTTGTATTAGGGACATATGATGAAGGACCTCGATTTCAGGACGATCATAAGGATGCCACATATACGAGGCAATCCTACAATCCACCTCCGGAGGAAAACATGCAATATCAAGATACATCTGCTTTCGCTTTCGATCTGATGCATCATAAATTATGCGCAGAATCTTCTGGTAATCTTCCTGAAATTTTTGTATGAGATATTCGAATTCAATCCAATCATCTACTCCTCTATCGTGCAAAAAAGAACCAAAAACTTTGAGAAGTAGTGGAAGTCCCTTCGCAGCCTTGACTATTTTGTTTGCAATATCAACATAAAAATGTAGTTTATCTCTCTTTCCGATTGCACAGTGCCAGAAAAAGTCAAAAGCTAGATCATGATGCATCGGAATAACATCATAAGTACGAGCCAAACCTCGATCAACAAACCCTTGAAGACCGCTTCTTTCTTTTGAGGTGACAATTATCCTGCTTCCAGAACCAAACCAATCAAGCTCGGGTCCTACAAACTCCTCGAGGAGGTACCCCCTTTCCACGTCATCGAGAACAATGAGAATTTTCATATTCCTAAATATTTCTTTCAAAAATCGTACTTCTTTGAAAGCAAAAGCAACCTCAAACTCTCTTTTCAAAATATCACAGATCAACTTGGTTTGAAGATACTGAACACCACCAGGTTGCTTCGTTGTTTCTTCAATCTCCGCAAGAAAACTGCAAGTGTCAAAGCGAAGGGATATTCGGTCATATACAATCTTGGCAAGAGCAGTCTTTCCAATTCCATCTCTCCCATGGATTCCAACAATTCGTACGTCGTTTACTTCTAGTTCCAATAATTCCATTATTTTCGATTCTTGACTGTCTTGAAGCTCCTATAAAGGTACTTAAATTTAGGAGAATGTTGGTTAGAAGAGAAGTGAAGAAATATACAGAGGTACTGTTAGTTCCAGATGATAAGGCCATTCTCTGAAATATGTGTTTTGAATGTGTCTGCCAATCAATTATATGCCTTGCTAGTTGAGATGTTGTAACTAAAGTTTAGCTGACATAGTAGATAGATAGTTGAAGGTAACCTCCACTGAAGTTCCCTCAACACAATCGTTCCCTCCATGCATCTCATTTAAGCTAAAGATACGATAGTAAACCTGCTGTCTCTATTATGGAAAGATCTAATAAGTAAATCTGGTTTTGCTAAGCATCAAAAAGCCTAATCTGACTAACATACCCTGTTTCTTGTCCTATGTAGTCTGAAAAGGAAGCACAAAAAATGTGACTACCAGCCTTATCAGGGATCATCTCCGAGTTGCCGCAGTGATAAATTCAGTAGGAGTTTACCTTGAGATCTCATTTATATGTTTAAGACCTATAATGACTAAAACTTAATGCCACAGAAAGAGGAAGAAAGCACAAACATAATTTGAACAATCCCATCTCACACTGCTTCCGCTGTTAAAATGCCGATCCAATTTCTAGAGTCTTCTAGGATAGACATGTGCTAGAAAAGTCCGGAAAAATCCTACAAAAATCTAATCCTTGAGCGGCAGTGGAAGTGTCTGGAGTCCACTAAAGCCTGTGTAGAAGAATCCATAAAGGATATCGCTCCAACATGGCAGAGATATTTGCCTTGCAAGTCGGTTTACAAGGCTCTGGCGGTGGAAATCTGCAAGGATAAAATGAACCGAAATCTCTGACTTGAGCCGAAATTTTCTAATGTTTAAGTTGGTTGCAAGCCTATAAAAAGGCTTGGGTCGTCCAAAACATATACTCTTGGAGGACCAACCAACTAAGTTCTTCTCCTTCCTTTTGCATTAACAATTAAATAATAAAAGCTTTTTTTCCCTTGTTCCAATGTGCTGCTTTGCCGTGAAACTCCACTCTCATACGCACATCCCTTGTTGTTTCTTTGCCAAGTACAGCGCACGTACACACTTGTACATCAACACCAAAAATTAACAGTGGTATCAAAGCCTTGTTTGGTTGATATTGAGATTTATCCTAACCACCCTCTACTGAAATCACTCACCTAAATCTCCGACACAAAAACTATGCCAATTCTACCTCGCCGCTCATTCCTAGTTTCGACAGAAATAACTATGACTGTTGGAGCATTAAAATGACTACTTTCCTGATGACTCAAGATTTATGGGACATCATGGAGAAAATCACTAACGTGGCGGTCTAGTCATCACCATATGTCCTACATGGAATACTGCCTTAATCAGAAGGATTACATTGGAATATTGTGCAAAGGTTTAAGATTAAATTGGCAAAATTGGAATATTTGTGGCTGAATTGGCATATGTACAATAGGTTTAGCACCAATCAGATAATTTTCCCCTTTTAAAAGTGCTCTTGATGCACTTGTTTTGCAACCAAATGAGGATATTGAAGTTTTCAATATATTGACAGGCCTTTAATATGCACAATCGATGCTCAACAAATGCTTTGGGACAAGATTCATACAAATTACATATGGGCTCTATTTATAGAGGATCGAGAGTTGAGAGACACTACAAAACCCTAATTGTCTTATTTAACACTCACCTAATATGGCAAATTATACTTCAACACTCCCCCTCTAGAAGTGTATAAGAATGTTCAAATCTACTTACATAGATTTGTTACCCCATTTAATTAAGCGTGTCTAGTTTAACCGTGTTAAAAACAAGTCAAAAGACATCAACTCATTCACGACACGCTTCTTACTTGTGTATAGTCTGCTTGACCAATCCATGATACGAATTGCAACTAAGTATAATCTTAACACACTTATCCTAGTAGCATTCCCGTGTCGTGCAATTGGGTCAACCCCAGCGGTTGCATAAGGCTGTGGTGATCGGAAAAAAGGTGACTTCGTTGTTTCAGAAGGCAATTATGGGATTTTGGCTTCTACATATAGTTGCATTTCAAACAATGCTTCCATGAGTAAACAATGTGGTAATCGTTTGCCAGATAAAACAAAAGCGACAAATATAATATATAAGAATTTCTAAAAGTAATGTTTTAGTAAAGTCACTTTTGATGCATCGACTCTCCTTAACAAAGGAAAGGAAGGAGGCATTCTTGAATCACTAATACCGTGAACTTAACACCTACTTTGCCACCAGTTTTGTGTAATAAAAAGAACTCTGTAGTAACATTTTTGTGTGGTGGTCTAAAATGACAATTACTATACATCCAGCTATTCTACTCAAATGTAATTATTAAGTGAAGAATTGTCCCCCGATTTTTGGTGGATTCTATTCTTGCAAGGGTAATTAGCTACTGAAAAATTGATGTATATGCAAGCTACTTTGGATTTCAGACGATGACTTACATTCTCTTGTAGTTTTAGTTCATGTGTTTGCTTTCTTTTTTCTATTATATTCTAACTATACAACAACTGTATAATCTTGAAAAAATATTTTGTGGTGATTTGACTTTTTATTTATAAGATGTAAACACACTTTAGGAGAAACCAACTTCATCAGCAGGTACAATCTTTAGGAGAGAGTACTCCAGAAGAGAGGAAAATAGGAGCAAAGAAATGTACCGAGGTCCTGTGAGATAACATGGGTCCCTGAAACCCGGCATCTGCTTGAGCCTGCTAAAGTCAATCAAATCCCTTGTCAGTCATAAACTTGCCATTAAGGTTAAAGTAGATAGGGAGTCGAATATAACCATTTTCAAATGACTTGTATGAACATTGATTAAGTTCGCTATGGCTTCGAGTGGATCAGCACCAGTATATAGATCTTTAGGCTCATAATTATGCTCTATGTTGGCTTTGAGTGGAACAGCACCAGTGAATAGATCTTCATGCTCTATATCGGTTTTGAGTGGCCCAGCACTGGTGGATAGATCTTCAGTTGCATAGCTATGCTCTATGTTGGCTTTGAGTGGACCAGCACCAGTGAATAGACCTTCATGCACTATATCGGTTTTGAGTGGCTCAGCACCGATGAATAGATCTTCAGGCGCATATTTATGCTCTATGTTGGCTTTGAGTGGTCCAGCACCAGTGAATAGAACCTCATGCTCTATATCAGTTTTGAGTGACTCAATATCAGTTTTGAGTGACTCAGCATCAGTGAATAGATCTTCAGGCGCATATTTATGCTCTATGTTGGCTTTGAGTGGTCCAGCACCAGTGAATAGATCTTCATGCTCTATATCAGTTTTGAGTAACTCAATATCAATTTTGAGTGACTCAGCATCAGTGAATAGATCTTCAGGCGCATATTTATGCTCTATGTTGGCTTTGAGTGGTCCAGCACCAGTGAATAGATCTTCATGCTCTATATCAGTTTTGAGTGCCTCAGCACCAGTGAATAGATCTTCATGCTCTATATCGATTTTGAGTGCCTCAGCACTGGTGGATAGATCTTCAGGCGCATAATTGTGCTCTATCTTCAGCTTAGGCGAAATTTCTCCAACAATTGTTGTGATAAGTTCCCTTTCACTGCCACCGCAGAAAAAATCTCAGTTCCAAACCATTAACAGATGCGATCTGAGGACATACCACCCAACGCACTACATGATGAAACAACGATTTGGTTGTGCTAAAAGATCACTGATCTTTAACTGCAGAACATGATTTACCTGATGCAAAGGTATATTAAACATACTAAACTGATGTTTTGTAATTGTATGATCGTGGGATAATGCCATTGCAGAAAGAATTTAGTCCGACCATCGGATTATCCTGTCACCATTCACCATTGGGGTAAAAAATATCACTCCACCACGGGTTGAATTACAGAATGACACGAACATGTGGATGAATAATTAAACTTTTATAGATAGTTCACTGGGCCAAACTGAGATATTTGTGTAAACGTGGTCAATTCGAGAGAAGGATTTCGCCTGAAATAGAAAGAAGAGGGACTTGAAAATTTTAACCCCGTTAATTCCCATGAACAATTTCCTCTTTTTCTGTAGTTTTGTATCCATAAAGCTTTGAAACAGGCTCAGTAACGATTATAAACCCAAGCAAAGTGAACAAAAACAATTTAGAGTCCAGCAGAGTCGACCAATATTTGCTTTTTTGGCTGGGAAAAGGTTGTTGAGTTTCCTTTTCTTACATTCTCGATACTACCTCGGTCGATTGAGCAAAGAAATCCAGAGAAACCTACAAGAGAATAAGACAGATGTAGCATACCCTTTATATGAACATCGTTCCCATCCCTTGACTTTACCAGCCTCCGCAAGAGCCTTCTCCCACTTCTCGACTTTCTCAGCGCCAAACCACAACCTGTGCGAGTCCAGGGCGTCTCCGTAGAGTGATTTTTTTTCCATATTCACATCAGACCACTCCACATCGTAGAGAACGGGTAGGATCTCTTTCTTCCCACCTGATCTAGAAGTGTGTTCTACCATGAGTTCGAGTGCGTCAAGGCACCGAGTGCTGAAAGGGTAGTTCACAGAAAAGATAGGTATGTAGATCCTGGAGCTGTAGACGGATAGCGGAAGCTCACCATCTCTGAAAACACGAATTCCGTCGGCTTTCAAGCAGTGATAGAGGCTATCGGCGAATGCACAACTATCGATTCCTGAACTCAGGAACACATCATACGTTGACTCAGCCTCTAAGTTTATCATATCTTGATTCCGCCTCTCCAGTTCATCGTCGATCCTTTCCCGTTCACTTTGCTCCAGCCTCGCTGGTTCATCTTCGCCTTTTTCCCGATTATCGCCACCGCATTCAGCCATACTTGATTCAAACTCTAACTTTATAGAATCTTGATTGAGCCTTGCTGCTTCATCTTCTCCCGCCTCTTCTCCGTTTTCTGCATGCGGATTCTACCTTGGGTTTGTAAAGAATAATCAAGTCAACCGTGTCGGTCCGGGTTTGCCTTGCCCCTCCTCTAATTATTTATCACGAATGAGATATTACTTGTTTTAGTACATGTTTTGTCAAATATAAGTAATTGTTATAAAGAACAGTGGACAACCTCATCGACCGGATAAGAAATGAACGGTCAGAAGTGACGGCAAGCCTTTGGGGTGCTCCAAGTCAAGATTCCCATAGCTTCTGTAAGCTTCTTAGATCCGAGCGAATCTGTAAGCTTGTTCTTTTGGCTTTTTCTTGAGCTTCTCTCACTTATGGACGTCTGCACTAATCTCTCGTGGTTTCCATCTACTAGATGGCCCAACGTTACCCGCTATGAAGTCTTTCTCAGTTTCAGAGGAGGAGATGTTCGGAGGGGCTTCCTTGGATGTCTCCACAAAAGCCTCATTGATTCAGGGATTGATGCATTTGTCGACTGTGAGGGAATTGAGATCGGAGAAGAGATCATGGAAAAGATCTTCCAAGTCATCAGGCAGTCGGAGATATGCATTCCCATTTTCTCCAAAGATTTCGCTTCCAGTAAGAGTTGTCTGAAGGAGGTAGAGAAAATGGTGGAGTGTCAACGGACAATCATGCCCATTTTCTACGACGTCACCCCTTCAGTCGTCGGCAAACAGCAGGAAAGTTACCAGCGGTCATTTCGCAACCATGCGGCCCAGGGGGTGGAGTCAGCGACTATAAACAAGTGGAAGGAGGCTCTGCAGAGTGTTTCAGGAAAACGAGGATGGGAATTGGAGAAATTCCAACACGGGTAATTTGAAATCAAGATTTCGATGCTTTTCTATTTCTCCAACACCAGTGATCTAGTATGAAATCAAATGAGTGCATTATCCGACCATTCGTTCCTTTTCACCTCTTCCTCTTTCCTTCTTTTCCCATTTGACAGGGATCATCAACTTATAAAGGAGGTCGTTTCCACAGTCCGCTGGCTGTTGAGGAAGGATGAGTTAGATGTGACAGAACATCTGGTGGGGATGGATCACCATGTGCAAGAGATGATGACAAAACTTGGTGTTCACTATGAAAATGGACAAGTGGTTGAAGGGCAAGCGCTGACGGGAAAACATGTGGTTGAAATGTCGGGCCTTTCAGGGATCGGTAAGTCGACTCTTGCCAAGATTGTCTTCAATAAAATCCGTCATCTCTTTGAGAATTGGAGCTTCCTTAATGATATCCATGGAAAGGATGAGGAAAGGAGACTCCTATCTCTCCAAGAAGATTTAATTAGTGACCTCCAAAAGAAACGATGTACACTCAGATCTTCTGCTGAAGGTACCACATTTATCAAGTACAAATTTAGAAATCTGAGGGTTCTCATTATCCTTGATGACGTGAGTGATTTTAAACAAATCAATTCACTAGCCGGAGATCCAAGTTGGTTTGGTCTAGGAAGCAGGATCATCGTGATCTCTATGAGAAGCAATCTTGTCGACAAGTATAATCAGGCGCCCGTGACCTTTGGAAGCAGCAGTATTGTTAACAGTTGTGATGACATCCTCGTTGAAAAATACGAGTTAAGGCAAATGAATAATGATCATGCTTTTCAACTATTCTGTAAATATGCTTTTAGAGGAAAACCTCTTCAAGAGGAATTCTGCTCTTTGGCATGGGACATTAGTTTGGCTGCTGGAGGAATCCCTTTTGTTATTGAGATTGTTGGTTCATTTTTGCATGGAAAGATCGTAGAGTTTTGGAAGGAGGCATTGGGTAGATTGAACCGAGAGCCTTACAATGAGGAAGTAAAACGAATTCTGAAGAGAAGATATGAAGATTTAGATAAATATGCCCAAGAAATATTTCTTGATATAGCATGTTTTTTCGTGGGAAAGGACAAGACAATACCCTCTTACATGTGGGAAGCTTGTAAATATGATCCTTATAGAGGAATCGACGAGCTTCATAACATGTCTTTGGTAAAAACCAGAGAAAATAATGAATTGTGGATGCATAATCAGCTAAAAGTCCTTGGGATGGACATTGTCAAGGAAAAAAATCCAAGAAAACCTTTCAAGTGGAGCAGGTTATGGAATCAGGAGGATATTGAACTGGCATTGAATGAAAGGAAGGTAAGTTTTGAAGACAAGGAAGTCTCTTTTATAGTCTGAATTAAAGTACTTTTTTTTACTACTTAATTCTATTCTCAGAGATGATTGTGAATGCACTTCTATTTCACTTTCTCCTTTTACCATTTTTCCACGATTGGCAGGTCGCTGCGGTTGAAATGCTTAGTGCCACATTTGACAAATCCCGTTCATTTCCTGAACATATATTTTTTTGTTATTTCTCTAAGCTTCGGTATCTTAAAATGGACGATGATATTATCAAAGGATGTGAGCAGAGAGTAGATCTTTTCCTTCCGTGCTTAAAGTGGCTTGAATGGCAAAGGTGCCCCAATATCTCCACTCTACTTGCTTTAGATCTATCAAACTTGGTCATTCTTGATCTATCTTGGAGTACCTCCATAAGTTGGCAGTGTTGGAGACAAATTATGGAGGTATGAAGACATATATTTGCATTTTTTTCCTCATGTTTGATAATAGCTTGTAGTAAACAAGGCTTTCATATTCTCTTGTATTGCAGAAGGCCAAAAACTTGAAAGTTTTGATCCTAAAAGGTTGTGGTTGGCTAGCTGAATCTCCAGTTTTCCATGCTTCCGTAAACTTAGAGAGACTAAACTTTGAACATTGTTCTACATTACCGGGTGTTGATAGATCCATTAGTGAGCTAAGGAATTTACGTTCTTTGAATATCAAGTTCTGCAGCTTCGTGCAAGAGTTGCCAAAAGATATGGGTTACTTAAAAGCTTTGAAAGAGCTTTATATCGATGGAACTTCCATTAAAGCCATTGATTTCCCGGAAGGTTCATATGAGAAGCTCGAAATTCTGAGTGCTTGCAACTGTAAATCCTTGTCTTTATCCAGTTCAATTGGCAACTTAAAATCTCTTTTGTACCTAGCATTGGACAATACTGAACTCAGTGAGCTCCCTGATTCTATCGGATCGCTGGAGAATCTTCAGACCCTATCTCTGAGAAACTGCGGGAGCTTGTGGAAACTGCCAGATTCCATCGGAGACCTCAAGGAGCTGCAGGTCCTGGATCTTTCTGACGCAATAGTCGACCAACTACCTTCCTCTGTCAAGGATTTGCGAAACTTGAAAGTACTAAAGATGGCTCGCACTTTTTTAACAGAATTTCCCGGAGGCATTAAGAATCTAGAGAGGTTAGAAGAGATAGATTTCTCGGGCTGCAGAAGTTTGACGGGGGAATGTGACATTACGGGATTATCCTCTTTGCGGGTCTTACTTCGAGAAAATACTGATATTTCTCAGGTGATTGGGACGGATGGTCAATGCTCTTATCTCCCAAACCACGGACTAGATGGCAGTGCTCGCATCTCGAAAGCTGGAACTACTGAAGGAGCACAGCATCGGACCAACGGATGTGAGACTACGACAACGTTCCAGGATGACGGACATCACATCAGCATGCCGATGATGAGTCAGAGACCTAGCGAGGCGGCGGTCCGACAGAAGAAAAAAAGCTTTCGGTGGATGTGGTTTGGCTGTTGTTGACACCTAAATTTTGCCCAAATCATTTGAGGTTTTATCGCATAAAAATTAGGATTTAATTTTTAACCCCTAAGCCAAAAATACTTTTATTAAATTCCATGGCATATAGACATTAGGCACATTTGCATTAATATGGCCTATTAGGACATATTCATTAAAAAAAAAAAAAGATTTTCGAGCCGGGTTCGTCGGCCCATTCTTTTTCCTTGTTTTTCTTTTACTGCGCGCGGCCCGTGTTCCCCTTTCCATTTTCGCGCGGGCTGGCCCATTTCCCACGGCCCGGCCCGCGCACTGTTCAGCTCCCCCTCCCCAGTCAACGTTTCTGAAGTGTACGGGGGAGGAACAGTGGCAGAACGCCACAGAGAACAGAGACCAGAGGGGCGCGGGGGACGCCGGCGCGATCTTCGGGTCGGGAGCAGGCCGGCCGCGGCAGGCTGGCGGTGGCAGGGCCATGCGCGCCTGCTGGCCGGCTTCGCGCCGTTGGCTGTCCTTAAAGCCAGGGGGGTCCGGAGGGAGACATGGGAGAGAGAGAAAACCGGGAGAGATCCGAGGGAGAGAGTGAGGCCGAGAGCGTTGGCGAGAGAAATTCGAGGCCAAGCGGGCTCCCGTCGATGACCGTCGCGCCTCAACCGCGGCTGGCGAAGCTCCGACGATTCTTGCGGTAGGTCCCGGCTCCAAGCTTCGTCGGGTTTTCTTGTTCGGTTTGATTCGGGGTAATTTCCCGAGGATTCCGGCTTGGGGGCGTGCGAGGCGACCGGACGTAGTCCGATCCATCAAGTTCGCCGTCGTTCGCCGCCCCCCAAGTCGGATAGGGAGCGCCGCAACGGCACCCCCTCCCCTGTTTTTGCTTCTGTTCTCGGGTTCACTGGCCGGAGCTCGCGGCCGTCCGGCTCGCGCGAGTTCCGGCCAGTGACACCTCGGGCCTGCTTGTCTGTGTATTGTCTTGTGTTGACGATTTTGGCCCGTTTCGAGCCTCGATCGAGTCCGAAATTTCCCGTTTTCGTCGCGCGCTCCAGCTGTTTGATGTTTTGCCTGAGTGAGATCTGTGCGTTGTTTTCCTCTGTACGTGATGCATTCTCGAACCAGGGCAGGAGATCAGTCCGCCTCCTTGCAGTCAACCGAGCTGGCTTGTCGTCGGCGAACGATGAAGGTCCGCAAGAGGGGGGCGACGCACGAGCAGGGAGCTCGTTTTGGCCAGTCCCTCGTCGGGGCTCAGCCGATTCGTGGCCGGCCATCCCCTCGTCGGGGCTCGATCGGTTCGGTTTTAGTCACCGGTCGCCGCGGTGGCGACGCGGAAGGAAGCGGCTCGTGGCGGCGGTCCGGACAGCCATCGCGGGCGAAGAACTTTCGCCACTCCTCGTCGGGGTGGCGATGCGCACGGGCGGCAGCCGGAAAGGTCTCGGCCATGAAGGCCGAGCATTCGCTCCACGTCGGAGCGGCGGCCGGCGTTCGAGCGAGTCGGGTCGGGAATCGGGTTGCGGGCACTAGGGTTTTGGGCGAGTCGGGTCGGCGGCCGGTGACCGGGTCGGGTTCGTGGG